CTGGAAGATTTATCAGGCAATGAAGATACAGGAAATAGGAGACTGGGTTCCAGTATTTACTTGGACACTTAGGTAGCGTGACACTACCCTAGATTTTAAAAAAAGCATTCCTCCTCTCTTTGCCTGTGATAGACTAAGTAGAAATATATGTTAAATTTATTTCTAAACTGTAAAGTGATGTTCAAATATAAGGTATCATTAGTACCAATGAACATTATTATTCAGAAGATAGCCTCCTTTGGTGAGCAAGTCAAAATTCCCACCACCATCTGATGATTAATAAATCAAAGTGAATCCTCATGGATCAAAGAATTTTTTGATGCTGGTTGACACAATGAGCTTACATGACAGTTTTCACTGTCTTGGTGAAAACGAGAATTCGTTGTAACACAAATATCATATTGTCCAAATCTACCACAAGATTGTCTATGCTCTGGAGGGTGCCTAAGTTGGGTTTCCCTGGGGCAGACTTTGAGTAAGAATTTGAGTAAAGGTATTTTATCTGCGAGACAAAGGACATGCCAAAAATAGGGGAAGGGAAATGAAGGAGGGAGACAAAGGAGGGAAGGCAGACAATGAAAGAATATTCCCAAACCACTTCCCAGTGTGGGTTACTAGAGTGTAATTCTCCTGGGTAACCTCCAAGAATCAGTGTAGAATTTCTGTTCCTAGGTGTAATGGTTAATTTGAATTATCAAACTTGATTGGAGTAAGAAAAGTTGATGATTAAGAGGCTTCTGGGTGTGTCAGTGAGGATGTGTCTAAGAATGATTGGCATGTGGGATATTGAACTGAAGTGGAGACCTTCCCCATGTGTGGGCAGCACCATCCAATAGGTTGGGTGGTGGGCTTGGATGGAATAAAAGTTGGAAGAACAAGGAAGCAGCAGCAGATGCAAGCTCCATTCTTCTTGAACATGTTCTTGATTGCTGCTGTATCCCCTGAGGATATCAGACTCTGGCTCCTTCACTATTCTAAAGTGGACTCTGCTAGTGATTCTCCAGGGAGTTTTCAGAAGCCTTCAGTCTTAGTCTGGGGTACATTGCTGATTCTCTTGTTCTGAGGCTTCAGCCTCTTGAACTGCACTGTTACTGGTTCCTCCAGCTCTCCAGCCTGCAGATGGCCAATGTAGACTATTCAGCTTCTGGTTACCTAAGCCAATCTAATAAATCCCCTTTTTATAATCATACCACCTATTGATTCAGTTCTTCTAGAGAACCCTGATTAATACACTGGGAGTGTGGTAACCGGACACCAACTCCCATGAGTCACTGTTGGAGAATGGAGCTGGAAGTTAATGCTCCCTGCAGCTCACCTGCTGCACAGGTGGGCAGAGCTGACTTTGCCAGCCAAGAAAAGTCTCAAACAAATGCTTTTACTGCAGAGGTTCCTTCTTAATTGGAAATATACTTTTCTTACGTACATAGCCATGCTACACAACAGCTACATAACACAGAGGGAAATTTTCTTCCTTTTCTGTTTCCTTACAAGGACAAATCAGGAAAAGTGACAAACATCAGTCCAAATCAGAATAGGAAAGATCCTTATAAGTCTTTGGCTTTTATTCTTTTGAATAGTTGAATTTCCAAATACTTCCTAGAAATAACTAATGCTGAAGGAAGCATTTAACTTTTGACACTTCTGTTCCATGAAGTAGAATGTGATATTCTCATCACATTTTTTACATCTATCATCTCATTTAACTCTGAGAGATGACTTGAAAAGTAAGGGAGTTAATGTCTGTTCTTCTAACTTTTAGAATATTCTAAACCTCACAAAAAAAGAGCCTGCATACTTAAACCTCAGCTGAAACTGTAGGCCCAAGACAGCAGGAGTAGCTTAGGAGCAAGAGACTTCTAAGAGCCATAGTTCTTCTCTGTAGTGTGTGTGTATGTGTGTGTGTGTGTGTATGTGTGTCTGATTTCCTCTTATTGTAGGAAAGTAGGATTAAATGGATTATGTGGAACTAAGGAATAGAAGGCAATCCCTACTGGGAGTTGGACTTGTCAGGAACTGTCACAGCAGCAGCTAATCTTTGGCCCAGGAAGTGACCCAGAATGCACTTCAGCCTGCCACCGGTTCCCCTCACCAAGGACATTGCCCTTCTTAGGAAAACATGGATATTAATATTATTTTCTGTTGACAGCACTGCAGTTGAATGCTAGATAAATTGGGTCACTTATTTTCCAGAATATAGATTTAATTTCTGAGGACTCAGAGTCCCCGCAGGAACAGCAACTACCTCCTGAAATTTGCCTTTTGCCAAGACACCACACTGTCATTTATCCCTGCATACAAAGCTCCATTGTGACTGTCCAGGAATGCATGTCCCCTGAGTATGATGCAATCAGAATTACTGATAAATTAGCAAAAGCCTTTTGAGCAAGGGATGGATTAATCATTAGGTATGTGCTGTGCTATCAGTGTGCATTCATGAAGTCTCAAGTGCGGTGAAAAGTTCCGGTCCTTTATTCTCCGAAACTCCCAATTCTCTTTTTATTGAAGACAGTGTAGAGTGAAATGAACCGCACATTCAAAATTCATGGGGAATCGAAACTTCTGGCAGTGAAAAGGTACTCTTTGCATTCTGGGGTCACGGGAACCTTTATGAGCAAAGAACAGAAAAAGCATTTCCAGTAAGTGGTATTCATCATCTCAGAAGTTTGCCCTCTGCTTTGGGAGAATAATTGCTCCTCATCCTGAAAAATAATGAACAAGAATACTCCAATTTTGTTTCTGTTTTTTTATTCTCAAATATGAAGATGTGGTTCCAGAATTTCTATGCCTGTGGATTAAGTTATATTGTTGGGCAAATGGGGAAACTAGAAAAATAAGACTTCTGTCACTTTCCACCATTGCTCTTACCAGTATCAGCCACGTTAAAAGAAAGAAAAAGAGAGAGACAGAAGCACAAATAATCAAAGTAATTATAGGCAAAAAGAATAAAGCCGAGGACATCACAATACCTGACCTCAAACCATACCACAGAGCTACAGTAACAAAAAGAGTATGGTACTGATATAAAAGCCAACGCACAGACCCATGGAACAGAACGGAGAACTCAGAAATAGATCCATGCCTCTATAGTACTTTTGACAAAGAACACTCCTTTTAATAAATGGTGCTGGGAAAACTGAATGTCCAAAGGCAGAATAAGGAAATTAGACTCTTATCTCTCACCATATCAAAAAAAAATGAACTCAAAATGGGTCAAAGATCTAGATGTAAAAAACCTGAAATTATAAAACTGCTAGAAGAAAACACTGAGGAAACACTCAATACATCAATATAGGGCTTTTTTTTTTTTGAGATAAGACTCTAAAAGCAATGGCAACAAAAGCAAAAGTAGACAGATGGGATTTTATCAGACTAAGCGACTTTTGCAAACGAAACAATAAACAGAGTGAAGAGAAAACCTGCAGAATAGGAGAAAATATGTTCAAACTATTCATCAGACAAGGGATTAATATGGGGATTAAAAATGAAGAGGAGGGGTGGGGAAGGGGGGATAAATGTGGGCTCCCACAACCCCTTTCAAGGGTCTACCCCAATGATCTAAGGACTTCCCACTAGGAAATTACCGCATAAAGGTCTGCAGCACCTCCCAAGACCCTCACCTGAGCCTTTAAAATAATGGACCTTTCAGTAACAAACAATTAGACAATATCCAAACCATAGTAGGAAACAATAGTGACTGTGGGAAAGAGTTGTTGATCCATGATACCACTGTCCCTACTTAGCCTCTCACCCTAAGGTCAGCCCAATCAGTGTAAGCGTATAAACCAAAAAGAAGATGACAGTGATAACATATGGAACTTTACCAAAAAAAAAAAAATCTTCAAAATGGTTCTTCTCTTTAAGAGCAGAACACATTTGCAAATGGAGAAGAGCTGCATGGGGAATTCGCATTTTCTCAACCATAATTCATCAGGAATTCTGTGCTTTCTGGTGGCTGGCATTCTAGTCAGCAAATGCAGAAGGGTGGTGGTCCTCTTGTTATTTTAGAATGGAGGGGAAGCCATGGGGTGAGTCAGTGGAGAACTAACTGCCCCTTTGTGATGAATCTAGGAGGTTCTAACCAATAATGAGTATGATTGAATAACCCCGTACATCCAGTGAGACTAAAACCAGGAACCCAGAAGAGAGAAGTTTAGGTTCCGCAAAGACCTGTCAAATGGACAATCTTCTTGCTGACTTGGTTCCTGGGTGGTTAATTGCCTGGGGAATTTTTCATTTGAAAATTGGTGTTTTCAGAAAGCATGTGACTTAGTCATGTAATTCAGCCTCTCACTCAACAGAGAGTCTCTAAGGTCAACCACTCAACCTCCCTACAGTGGGTCTTGGCTACCTCTCCAGGAGAACATCCCGGTTTTGTACATATTCAGTTATTAGAAAGCATACCCATAAGACACAGTGCAATAGTTATAAAAGAATGTGACTCAATTTCACAGGTGGAGGGCACATATCTATAAGGACATCCTATAGGATTATCCTACCCAATTTTTAGAATCATTGTTTTCCTTCTAATGAACAGAGATACAATGTTAAAGACACTGTTTTCATAGTCTTCTTTGTTAGGCAAAGTGGTGCTTTTCTTAACAAATGTTGGTCTAGTACATTATCTAGTAATTTTCAATAAAACTAGAAGTGATTTATCCTTCCCATGTATTTCTATTGACTTGGCATACCAAGTGGCAGTTATGGTACATATATCCATCTCAGCTCTCCTACTAGATGGTTTGTGCCATCAAGGAATTGATAACCATAATCTAACTTGGTTGGTAGTGAACCAGGGAAGGAAAGGATTGGGGGACCCATGGGCTTCACTAATTAGTGAGCTCAGTTGTTCTATTTGTGACTTACTATTTTATGAAAATGAATGTGCTTGATAACTGAAGAAAACCATGTTGTAGGTAGCACATTGTATATGTGTTAAGGAATTAACACAGTTAACAATGACCACCAAGCCCCTGGTTCTACATTAATAAAGCATCATAATATGAAGAGTACACTGCATTTATTTAACCTCATAAATTATAACCCTTTAACATATGTAAAAGTTTCATATTTTTAAAGTGCTCTAAAGAGATTTATGTTTTAAACATGTGTATGTGTGTGTGGGGGGTGTTCTTTAGAAGACATTTAATTTGTAGTAGAAAATAATATTGCCAAAACATCATGTATATGCTTGAATAACAATTTATCTTCTTCAAGACTTTTTTTTTTTTTTGGTATAAAATACATAGTTAGCAGTAAATGTCCAAATGATGGGTCTATGTGGTTGGAATTCAAAATTAGATCTGCTGTCAAACTTGTCTTAATGGTGTCTTGAATCACCTTGAATGACCTTGAATGGGCAGAGAGGCACATCAGGTCCTCCCGCAGTGCTTTTGAAGGTGAGTTTCCCTGCTGGGTGGTAGCCTGAGGTTAATGGTCAGGGCAGCCATTCAGACTGACAGACCCCTGGACTTCTGTGGCTTTAGAAACAGGAACAGGGATGTGGTTGACTTGTATATTCTTCAGACAGCCAAAAAATGATTTCCACACTGGGAGTTTCAGTGTCTGCAAATTGGCTGAAAGAGAAAAGCAAGAGGCAGTCAGTGAATAGTTCAGAGTGTCAGATGAATGCACCCTGAGTTTTGCAAGAGAATCTTATTAGAAAGAGCTGAAGGGACCCCTGGTCTCATCCCACCCAGACATTCCCCCCTCTTTAAGCTAATGTCTGACTCTGCACCTGCTGCGATACATTGGCAACGAGGCTATCCAAGTTCTTCAGAGGAGATTCCACAGCCCCAATCAATAGATAATAACTCTGAACTCTGCTGCTTTTTATGGGTCATGAAAGGCCTATAAAATTAACAACCAGACTATGTGGAAGGCCATAAAACTATAAAGAATGAAAAGGCTCTTTCCAGGCAAAATTCCAGCCTTGAACTCGATTCCCTCCCTGCCCACCTGATCCTCCCATTCTGTCCCCAGAAAGCCTCATGATTTAGCAGTAAAACTAAATGCTCAGGGAAGAGAGACACGTTTTTCAGCCCCTTTCCTAGTTCTTTGCTTATATCAGGTTTCTGGGTTAATGTAACCTCTTAAGAGAGGCTTATAAATTATAGGCTTGGTCAAGGGGATGCAGCAGTAATGTCACCTGGACTGCCCTGAAATGTGCCCCCATTGTTAGTACATGCTAGAGTGCAGGGCCTCACCATCTCCACCATCCAGCCAAAGGCTGCCCTGTTAATTACCCATCTGCTGGACGTGGTATATATTGGGTTAAAAAGAAAATGTTGAGAGCTGACATGGGGTAACGTAGGTGTAGAAGAAATCAGAGCCAGAGTTACCTGGGACACCTCCAATGTGGAGTGTCTCTTGGGAGCTGTCAGGCAGTAAGGTAAGGTGTCCGGCTGTGTAGCTGTTGTCTGTGTCCAGTTCTAGGTGCAAGATGTGTTGTTTGATGGTGACTGGAAAGGAAAGAAAAAATGGTTGGGTCTGTCACATGAGAGCCCTTCCCACTGCTTAACACCTACATGATTGTGTCACCATGGGCTCATCCCCATAGGACCCCTGGAGCCACTGTGTGTAGGCCTTCTGTCAGGTTTGGGATAAATTCAACTAACTTCTTAACACCAGGCAACGTTAATTCTTAAGATGAATCTACATGGAAGACATTATCATTCCCAGATATGAGACTGTGACTCTCTATGACCTGAGTAGAAGGCCTGGTTTAGAGATCTGGGATTCAAACCCTGGTCCCCTGTCTCCAGAAGTCAGGTTTACTTCATTGCTTTCTACTGATCTCAGCTACTTTTTAACGAAGGCACTGATTTCTGAAAACTGACACCAAAGATAGCTACACAATTTTGACTCTTGATACCAAATTCCTCCCATGGTGACAATCTGAGCGAATTGCAATGTAGTTAGCTTTCCGAGTAGTCAGGAAAACATCACCTTTCACAAAAGGCATTCTAGCCAATTCAGGTTTACATATCTCTAAATGCATATCCACAGGTTATTAATAAAATAACAGATTCTATTTGAGAGGATCGGGCTGCTCTTTACCTTTGGTTTGTCTAAGTAGTTTGCATTAACATTAAATGATTGTTAAAAAAATAATACTACAAGGAGCTTTAATAATATAATAGTAAAAGCAGCACACTCTGCATTAGACAAGTAGGCCAAGTACTTTACACACATTTTCCCATTTCATGTTCACAACTCAGGAGGCATGCACCATTTTTATCTCAATCTTACAGTGAGGAAACTGAATATAAAGAGTTCTTAAGTAGCTTATCTTCCTCAAGGTCACCTAGGGTAAAGGATAGGCCTGAGTATGAACTGAATTCAGAGTCTCAATCTGAATTACAATGTTAGATTACCTTGAAAAAAAAAATGAAGACTGTTATGGAGAGCTGGAGGCAGCAGCCTTGAACTATTTGAACACAGTTGGGGTTGAGAATGGACATGTTAACCTCGGTGGGTGGACCTCGGTCATGTACTATGGATGAATGGACTGAAGCTACCTTTGAGCTATTCAATTCAGAAGTAAACAGAGTGTTTTTAATACATGAACAATAGACTTTTGGATGACATACCTGCCACTGAGTGCCACTGTCCATCACAAAGAGACTGCTTTGGTGTGACTGATGTCAAGGTCCCACCTGCTTCGCTGTCCATAGAGGCAGTGACCTGGAACACACATGCATGTTGCTATTTCCTTCCAAAAGATAGATGAGTCAACTTTCCCCTGCCCTCTATCTCTTCCCTTACCTTCCCTAAACCTGGCCATGCAGATAGCCCTATAAGTGTGTTGAATGGTGGTTCCCAATTCCTGTACCTGGTGATGAGGGTCAAAGGCTCCTGGAAATCCCTCTGCTGCATCCCTCCCAGGCAAGCAAGCTGAAAATCCTACCCAGCTTGACCTTGCTGGCAATGGTGATGAGCTGTTTGTTCCCTCCCAATCCAAACCCTATCCCCATCAACCCTTCTCAAAGGTTACTGATGAACCCTTACCATCCTCCTTAATAATTAACATGTGACAGTGAATCTATTGAGAAGATCGTGGGAAATTGGAAGGCAAAAATGCTGGTGGAGTCCTATCCAGATAATAATAATAACCCCATGAACACATTACAGCCAGAGCGTCTCATCTGAGACATAAAACAAGCCAACAGTTTGCTTTTGTCTGGGGCATATATATGTTTGGCATCAGGCACTCAAAATGTCTTGTGCAGAATCCCACCTTCCCATTCAGGGATCCTTCAAGATCTCTCCAGGGTTGAATTAAAGTGAATGAAATGAGAGGACTAGAGTAAGTGTCATTGTAAATAATTTACATTTAATCTGTCTTTAGTTAAATGCAGCCATCTATTCACAGGCAGCTCTTGAGGTCAACAATGTCACCGATGGCATGAAGGTCATTGGGTCTTGTTATTGTTTTCTTGAGATTATTTCCTATCCACAAACTCCCGCTGGACACCTTCTCCAACCCCTTCCTCTGAAAATCAAGCCTTGTTTCATCTACCCAAAGATGGGTAATTGCTTGTTCCTCTGGGCAACTGGAGATCTATTCAGACTCAATGCTAAATTGTTCCAGGGGCTGGAGATGTGGCTCAGTGGTAAAGTACTTGCTTAGCATGTAAAAAACTTGCTTAGTGGTTCAATCTGCAGCACTAAACACACACACACACACACACACACACACACACACACACACTGATCTAGGAGTTTGGTTCATTTTATTCTCTTCTGGCACTTTTCCCGCAAAGCTGTGGAAGAACAGAGATGAAAGAAAATGGCATAGCAGCACTCTTTGACTTGAAGATCATGAAAGGCTTCCTGGAAGAATATTTTCAAGAGAGTCCTCTGAGAAGGTAGGAGGCATGCTGGGTGGTTGAGAAATAAATGCTTTTCTCTAAAGAGCCTCCCAAGCAAGGAGATACTCCAAAGCTTGCAGAAGGGGAATCCAAGGGCGTTAAATCCAACTGGGAGTGATGAGAGGGGAGAGACAGCAAAAACATAAACTGAGGAAGGAATCCATGAAAAACCAAAGGATAGCCAGAGTGGGATCCAGAGACCAGCTTGGTTGTGGGGAGCAGAGGGCTGGAATTGTGTAGAAAATAAAGTTGGATGCAGAACGGATTCCATGGGCAGAGGACCATGGGCACAGGTGTCCCATGGTGTAGACAGCTTGTTGATTCAGGGCCTACACTTCTGAATAAAAGTAGAATTTGTGATGAGGGTGAAGAGAAAAAGGGAAAGTGGATATTTATGGGGTCCATGGCAACCCCAGGAAATAAGAATTATTGTCCACATTTTATAGATGCTGCAGGTGAGCTGAAGAGCTTAAGCAACTTCCCCAGGGCCCTACAACTAAGTGGTGTATCTGGAATTCAGCCCAACGTGTTAGAGTTTTCCCAGTTTTGAAAATAAAGAGGAGATACCATGATGACAAATTCCTTGGTAATGGAAAATAGTAAGGCAGCCTCAAAGCCAGGTCTTTTAAATATAAGATCTCTTAAACATAAGCTCCGCCTTCTCCCGTAACTTCACCTCCCATGATCTCCAGAAAAGAAATCTGGTTGCCATCTACCCTTTCCATATTATCAAACTGCCACCTACCTTTCCTGCCTCCATATAAACACTTAAGTGCTGTCCTGGCTGACTTCCGATGTGGATTAGGATTCCAGTAAGACTTCTGGGGCGGATGCTGAAAACAAGCTTAAATTCTGGCCCCAACAACACAGAATTAGCTTAAAAAAAAAAATAACAGTTAAAACATCATAATTAAAGAATAAAAATGGTTGGTTCTCAAGACTTAGAGACATGAACTCTACTAAACTGCCTCTTACCTAGGATGATGTGACCTCCTCCTTGGGAGAAATAAATGCCTCTCTCTAAAGAGCCTCCCAAGCAAGGAGACACCCCAAAGCTCGCGGAAGGGGAATCCAAGGGCGTTAAATCCAACTGAAAGTTCCTCAGGCATCCCACAAAGCTGTTTTGGGGGAGGCTCTGCAACCAAGCAGAAAAGAAAGAATTCATTATTACAACTCTCAGAAATGCAGGGGTGGCCAACGTGAAGGGCACTTCCGTCTGAAAAAGTCAGGTGGGCCTTCCTGTGCCATTTGGCTTCCTGCCCACAGTATCAAGAAAAACCTGCACAGCACATGTGTGGTGTGTGGTCCGAGTGTGAAGGTGTCACCAAACCAAGCAGGGTGTGTAGGAGGGAGAGGCAGTGAAGGCTTCCAACTTGTGCTGTTAGAAGAAGGAGGAGGAGGATCCACCGGACCCTGGTCCATCCAGACTGAGCCACAACAGGGGGAAATTTCCACCCCACCGTTCAACAGAGCTCCTCGACTCTTGGTAGGTATAAAACCACTTCTTTGGGTTTATGAGCCAATGTGCTAGCTTAATGCAGGGCAGCTGATTGAAAAACGAGGCCAGAATGTTCCAAAAATAATAAAGTGCAAAACAGCTCCCTACACCGTTAGGCTCAGTGTCCTTCCGACAAATCACGAATGCTGGAGTTAAAATAAGACGCCGTGTGCATCATCAGTGGGCTGGTGGGGAACTCCTTGCCTGCCTGAAGCTGGCCTGGAACTGGGGCTCCTCACCTGGGCCCACAGATGGGCTTTTTAGGATTTGTAACCTCTGGTACCAGATGTTCTCATTTTTCTGGGGAGAAGAACCATAAGGATTAGGAAAATTCTCAAAATATTCATAAAATTCTAAAAAAAAAAAAGTTTAAGAATCATTGAATAAAATCCCTTACCTCCCTTCTACAATAAATGCTTTTAGAACCCTGGAGTCTAGACATAAGAGAGGTGATATTAGAGATGCATGTGGTACCAGTGACAACCGTAAGCTGCTGATTGGCCTCCTCGTGAAGTTTTTAGTTTCTTTTTTTTTTTTTATAGAGTTGTTAGTTTCTTAAGATTTGTTATGTTGTCACGTGACAATGAAACACCTGTGTCTGAGACCAAGTGCAGACTCCCCAGGATGGGCTGTAACCTGCCACTGAATCCCTAAGGACTGAGTACAGTTCTGGTGTTCAGAAGCACCCCTCTTGGAAAGATACCGAAGAGGACTAAAACAAAGGTTTATACCCTCAGGTTGTAGGAGGGTCACAAAATAAACCTTCCCTGTAAAAATATTTTCAATGGGTGTCACATTTGCCCAAATGTTGGGAAGCCAGGTGTGATTAAGAGAAGGTGACTTTAAGAGAATCTATTCAGGTCAAAAGAATGCCCAGATTTTGGCCTTGAATAACTACTCATTTCTGTGATTTCTCTGAGAGACAAATATATACAAAGGTTAGAAAGCAGTAAAAATTAGTATTGAGGATCCTCTTTAGCACTGAATATGTTACATATTACAGATTATATTGTATACATATATTGCCTTGCAATATACATATGTTTTATATTATGATATACATGTAAAAGTTACTGAGTGTAATAAATTAAGATAATGCTTTCTTGTTGTTGGGGTTCTGGCCTGGACCTAAGCCCTGGCCAAAATGCAAGTGGGCAGGCTGTACCCTGTGGAGACACCTAGGCTTTGGCTAGGTCAGACTGAGCTCTAGCATCCAAGCTGATAAAGACCTAATAGGATATTAGATATTATGTCCCTTTCCAAGTTCACATTTGAACTTGGCCCCTCCCTGTCTCACCAAGAGCAAACACACCACAACTGCCACAGGCTCTTGAGGAAAGGAGTAAAAGTTACATTTAGGTGGAAAATAGTTCCTAGGCCTGAGTTATTGACCATTTTACTTAACTCTGTAGGAGAAAAAGGAACTCTGGGAGAAGAGAAGGATGCACCAGGCCTTCCCAGGTATCACAGGTGCAATTTGCCCTCTGGTCAGGAGGGAGGATAGAGGCATGGGGAGGGCATGCCCACAGCTGGCCCTGGGCTGAGGCCCCAGAGAGCCTTAGAATCCGAGAAACCCAGAGGAGAGCCTCTCTTCCCTGCAGACACAGGGAGTCCTGACTGTCCTCAGTCAGCATTCCCAAGTTGGGTTTTTGAGATAGTCTGTTATTTCAAACACTGAACAGCATTCGAGTAAATGTTGAGTCAGTTAAATTTTTCTGGAATTTCCCTTTTTGTGTGCGCAAGCAGACTCTCTGCCATGAGCTACACCTCTGCCCTCTTCCTTTGGTAATGCTCCTTTTAGCCCACTGGTGAGGACAAGGGACACATTTCAGCTTTGTGCTAATATATCTTAAACAGCCCTTGATCACTTGGCAAGCTCCTATTTCTCCCAATGAAGAGGGTATAGACCATTAGATTCAGTTAGACTTTTCCCATTCTGTTTTATTTTGCATATCTGTTTTTATGGCTACCTACTCTTTACGGCAAAAGATACTGGGTTTCCATTTCTGAGAGAGAGAGAAAAAGACCCCATTAAAAACACATTAAAATTCAATAACAAATTACGAGAGAGCAAACCATGAAGTAAATCCTTTGCCTAAGTTCAGCAAGGACAGTGAAGGTGGCACAAATTAGCCTGGAATACATTATCTTAATTCAAAATCTCTTTAGGTCCACGACTTTAAACCTGTTTTCCTAGAAGCTGAGACTCATGTGTATATAGCCACATCAAAGTTCCATATTCAATTTCTTGGGGTCTGTGTCTCAACCTGCACCTTAAATAGCAAAGCTTCAGTGTGGGGGGAGTGGGCACTTTCCCTTTGGTTGTGAATATTAGATATAAAAAGTCATTTAAAGTATTTTGAAATTCTCAAATATCTCATGTAATCATAATGGTTCTGATACACAGTGAATTATTTTAAATTTACAGTTACCTTTGGCTTCCCTGATGGAGATGATCCCAGGTAAATCTGTTCTCTGGTGCCAACAGTGGAATTTCCAGGCAAACTCCCCTCCTGGGCCCTCAGCCCATCTACAACCAAGCGCCCCTTTCCACCATCTTGCCCAAATGCCACCTTTGGAGGAAAGAGAATAAATGAATCAAATCTTTACCTTTGACAATTGATGCTGTATTTTATTACTGGTTACAGGAAATTAAAAAAAAAAACAACAAAGTTTTTCTAACTTTCAACTAGCTTTTAAAAATCAGGTCTTTTCTTCCTGTTTATGATCATCACCAAGGTTTTGTGAGATTATATTAGATGTTGAATACACTGAGCTAAAAAGGTGAGCTAAATAATACTCAAAAATGAGATTTGGAAACTTAAACAAAAGATGACCAACCAAAGGCACAAAAAAACAACAAATATCTTTGCAACCAAGAGAAGGAGCAGTTTGATAGAGCTGAGGAGTGGAAGTCACCACACCCTTAGGCAAGGCTCCAGGGCAAGTGAAAACCACTTCAACTCTTTGCTGCAAGTCGTGGATTCTGCATCTCAAGGCTCTGAGACTTTCATTAACACCCCTCTACTCTCTGTAGACACACCTGTTACAGTGTGTGATTGGAAACTGCCCCTAAGACACTTACAATAGAGATCCTAGTCTTCTCTGCCCTTAAACAGCTACCTCTCTGGCCACATCCACCTCCTCTCTAGTTTCTGCATCTCAGGAAATGACTTGCTGTTGACCCAACTGCTGGCCCAGATCCTCCCCTCATGCAATCCCCCAACCAGCCCTCTTGCTCTGCCTTCAGAACACATGAGACCCCACCTCTTCCACCTCCACCTCAGCCTCTCTAGGCAAAGGCAATCACATCTATCTGGCCCCCACTTCTACTCTTACCCTCCTGTAGTTTCTTCAACTAAACAGAGGTGTTTTTTTTTTTTTTAAACATAAATCTATTCATGTAATTCTGCTTCTTCACTAGCTTAAGTCTCTTCAAAAACATCAAAGACCCTTGGAATAAAATCCAAAGTCCTTAACTTGGTTTTCAAGACTTAAATGATCAGGCCTTGCCTCCTTCTCCAACCTTCCTGCTTTGTGATTTGCTCACTGAGCTAACTTCCAACTCAAGGCCTTCCTATTTGCTGTTCCCTCTGCTGTTTCCCATAATTCCATATGAAGACCACTCCCTGCCGGAGGCCTTTCCTGACTACCTGACCTGAGATATAAGATAGCCCCTCCCCCCACCCTGCCTTGTCATTTCCTGACCTTGCTCTGGTATTTTCTCAAGACACCAGTTTCTGACATGAAGTTGAGGATATTTTTGTTTACATGCTCCAAGAGAGCAGCTCATGAAACATTTGTGGAATCACCATGTGAAAGTCATTCACTTGACTCAAGTCAGGTCACTTGAGTTTTCTGAGTACCAGTTTCTTTATTAGGAAAAAAAATAAAAAGTTCCCTTCTGGATTTCTATTGTATCTTTTTGACATCTGGGATGTCTTTGGGCCAAAGCTGGGATTCTAGGGTGTGGATCTTCTCTTTTTAAAAAATTCTTCTTCTTTGGAGGGAAGGTGGGAGATGTAGATCTGCATAATTGTGCTATGGGGAAGGCAGTTCCAGGACCAGAAAGAGGTCTAGCAGCCTGGAAGTTGGCCCTGGAGGACAGCAATGGCCCAGGAAGCAGGCCAAGGGAGTGATGCAGCCCAGGATGGTGTGGTGGGGACTGAAGAACAGTGGGTCAAGTGCACTCTGGCACATGGGGTGTCACACACACAAGGCACGTGCAGCAGTCTCCAGTCCAAAGAGGCAGATGTTCAGGGCCTCCAGCCATACTAGCTCTCCCTATGCCCATGCTTTAGTGCCTGAGAAGAGTGCTGGGACTCGTGTTTTTGGCTACTTGCATGGTGAATTGCCTAACAACTAGAGGTACAGTGGAATGTCCCTTATCTAAAATGCTTGTTACAGATTTCAGATTTTTTTTTTTTTCAGATTTTGGAATAGGCACATAACATAATGAGATATCTTGGGAAGGGGACCCAACTCTAAACACAAAATTCGTTTATGTTCCGTATGTACCTTATACCTATACCCTGAAATTTGGTACAATTACTTTTAGTGTGGCTGTGTTTTGATTGTGATCCATCACAAGAGATCAGGTGTGGAATTTTCCATTTTCCAAGTTGGTGTTTTAAAAGCCTAGGATTCTGACACATTCTGGATTTTGGGGCATGCTTGACCTGCAGTAGTGCAGCCCCAGCTCTTACCGTGTGCCACTTCCCGTCATTGTATTTCTCTTTGCTCTTGAGCCTCAGTTTTTTCCCTTCTGCTCCCAATGCAAAGACCAGGCGTCCTTTTGATAGGTAAAGAGCCATGAAGGAGTTCCTGGCACCCGTGTAAAACACCAGCCCTTTGGCGGATGTTGTCTGCATGTCCACAGCAAATTGAGATCTATGGGAAAAGAGCAACAGGCAATGAAGAACAACAGAGGTTTTTAATATTTCTCAGCTTCTCTGATCTGGGAAAGTGGGTGGGAAGCAAACACTGAAACTCCCATTTGTCACATGCATAAGTGAAGCGCCATGCATGAGGCCCTGGGTTTGATTTCCAGGGCTGCTACAACAACAACAACAACAACAAAAGTGAGATACACACTAACTGACCTGTCTCTCTGGGAACTTTCAGAAGACATTCTAAACCAACTATGAATAGTTTTTTTTTTTTTTTGGTACAAGTTCTTTACCACTTTGGGGGAATAATGAGACACTTCTGTGGCAAATTTAGCTGATGGTATAAATCCTAGCATGTGGCAAGAAAGAACATGCCTGAACTTCAAAGAATATATATATTAAGAAAATTAGGGTAAAATTTACATAATATAAAATGTACAATCTTAACCACTTTAAGCATATTGTTCAGTAGTGTTAAGAATATTCATAATGATATACAGTCAATTTCCAGAATGCTTTTCATCTTCCAAAACTGAAAATGTCCACCCATTCAACAATTGTCCCCTGTTTGCCTCTCTACCTAGCCCTTGGCAAGCACCGTTCTACATTCCTGTCTCAGTGTATTTGATTGCTCTAGGTCCCCCATTTAAATGCAATCACACAGTACTTCTCTCTGTGTGACTGGCCTAAGGAACCTAAACTCTTTAAACCCAATGAACATGCATCCTATTTTGTGTATATTCATGGGAAGTGTAGGAGGAGCAGGGGACAGCTTGATGACAAGAATGTGATTGAAACATTAGATAAGCATTTGTTTCTGTAAGATATATTGAACAAAAAGGCACAGAGGTACAAAGTCACCTTCTCTACCACCCCACACTTTTCTGACCCTTATTGCTCACCTATGATGGAAATGGAATCAGGCAAATAACCATGGAGTCAAAGCAGAGTCAAAAGTTAATGCTTATTTACATGAGGGTTCCTTATTATTACCTATCTGGCTAAGCAAGTTTTATTTTCTATGAAAACTCACAACTGTCTCTCTATCCAACAATATTTAATGAGTATGTAGCATGTATAAGGATTATGCTGGGCTCTAGGAATGCAGTCATGGATGTTCCATTCCTTGAGTTGTTTATGGTACATGTGTACACGGAGAGGGGTTCATAAAAGTACAGCATGATAAATGTGATGAAGGCATGGGTATCATCACCTGTTGTTATGGCTTAGATGTGGGTGACCCCCAAAAACTCATGTGTGAGACAGTGCAAGTATATTCAGAGGCGAAATGATTAGATTATGAGAGCTGTAACCTCATCAGTGGATTAATCCAGTGGTATGGTGGTAAATGTAGAGAGACAGGGTGTGACTGGAGAAAGTAGGTCACCAAGGGTGTGACTTTGGGGTTTATATTTTCTCCCTAGTGAGTACAGCATTTTCTGCTTCCCCACTATCATGTCCTGAGCTGCCTTTCTTGGCCAAGCCCTTCCACCATGATGCTCTGCCTCACCCTGGGCCCAGAGCTATGGTGTCAGCCATCCATCATCTGAACCTCATAAGCCAAAATGAACGTTTCCTTCTCTAAATAGTTCTTGTCAGTTATTTTGGTCACAGCGATGAAAAGCAAACTAAAACACTCATTCACTGTGGTTAACGTCTAGGTACACAGGGCAGAAACAAGGTTGGTTCTGCTCACAGCTGTTTCCCCAGAGCCTAGTAAACAGCAGGCACTTAATAAAAACTAAATTGGGTTAAATAGTAAATGGAAAATCTGAGGCAGATCTTGAAAGTGGAAGGAAAAAGTACACTATTAATTCTCTTTGCTTTTTAATACTGTGAGGCTGAGATGCACATTTATTCTTCAGATTATCAAGTTTCCTAGAGGGCAACATTCTTCAAAATGAAAAAGCAACCCATATTTGTTAAATTAAACCACCCAGATGGTAACACCGCTCAGTGTTTCTCCTGGTGTCTGTGTGCCAGTGTGGAGGGTTGGGGAATGAGGCTTGGCCAATTTGCCAATTTTAAGGAGGATGCTGGAACTTGCTCCAGAATGTAAAGCACTTTGCATATGTGGGCTTGGTAATCAGACTTGACATTTGTTTCCTAGCACTGTTTTTTTAAAGCAATTTTCTTTCAGAAAAGACTAACTAACACTCCAAAAAGGCAGCAGTAGATCCAAATCCCAATCTATGATATTGTAGCTATGAATCCTCATGGCTGAAGGAAGGGAGGAGAATCTAAACAACATTTTATAATAATGGGACCGGTTTTAATCAAAACACTGCCTGCCGGGATGAAAATCAGAATGAGAACAGCAGAATGTAATAAATCTTGTGACTCCCTGAAAATGTAATCCGATTGTTATAATATTTGAGACTAAAATAACTTAAAAATTCTATTTGCTAAAGATTCTTCACTTTGCCTTTTAAAATGTTACCGTTTCCACTTAGGATGGGTAACTGAGTATTGGATGCAAAGGTACTGGGCTTGAATCGGAAGAAGCAGCTGGTAACTTATCCCACTAAATGTGCTAAAGGAGAAGATGCAGGGGATAGGACCTGGGGAGGGCAGAACTGGTGGAGAAGCCACAGTGGAGGGCTGGGAAAGGACATTCTGGGCAGTATGTGCAGCTGCTGTTTCTTTAAGAGAGATGGTTGTCACTGAGGTCATCTTGACCAAGAGGGCAGGGCAGTGGGGCATCCCAACTGAGAAGTCAGGGACAGGTAAACTGAGGGATAAGCCTCACTCCCTCTGGTTTAGTCTTTCACTTGCACAGATTTGGTAAATGAGAAATCCTTAGACTTTTCCTGAAGCAACTGAAGATCTGGAGCCACCTGCACAGGCTCTCCCTGCAAGAACACCGGCATTGCAAGGCCTGTCGGGCCTTCACACCCAGCTGCCTGTGAGTCACGCCCATGAATGGGGTTCATGGTTCACTGAATGGGGTTCCCAGGGCCTGCTTCATTCCAGGCCATTACCTGCTCCTTGCTGCAAGGAAAGCAGCATCAGCCCCATTTAACTGATGAGAAAACTAAGGTCCAGAGATACACAGCAGTTTGCTAAAACATGTGAGCCAGACATGGAGAGAAAGCTTACACTTAGATAAGTTAGACTTTATGGTGGCCACAAAGATGTGCTCCCTTCGTGAGAACTGCTGAGGGGCAGCTGCTGTGGGGCTACCTGCAGTGTGCTGGTAGCCCCCAGCTGTCACACCCTAGGATCTGCAGCAGCACGCAGGCTGTTTTCAGCCAAGGACTGAGTGAGGTCGTATACTAGAGCAGGCCACTTAGGCATGACACTGAGCCCTTCTCAGGGGTGGTCTGTCCTTGGGGGGCCCATGGCTGACTTCTCAGAACTGCACTATTGTATGAGGTCCTTCTACTCAACCCTCCTCCCTGTACCTCTTCCTTCGAAAATGTCTTTAGGATCCTCCAGCTACAGGTTGTCCCCTCACCTGCCTGCATCTGTCTCCTCCTGGTCATCTTTCACAAGCTTTCCCACAATAAAACTCTTGTCCACCTAACCCCATCTTGGCATTCTGACTCAGAGGAGTGGAGCTGGCCAGTGTGTGGCCAAGCAGGGATTGCAAGCTACAAGTTCCATCCCAGGTCTTTTTGATCCCTGGGCAATGCTCCCTCTGTAGAATACTCTTGAAGAAATGGTTGACACTCTTTTATTTATGTCTCCTTCAAGTCACCTGAAAATGACAAACCTTGTTTTTCTACTTTGTACTGACATGATTCATATCTCTCCTCCTCCTCCTCCAAAATGATGCAACTTGTTAGCATAGAAAGTCTAGATGCATTCTCTAAAAATGATCTCTCTGGCACCGAGGCTACCTAAAAGAATGATTTTCCTTTCACTACAGAATGCAAGAGAAGAAAGGTGATTTGTCATTGAAATAAATAGCAGCTTTGGAAAAAAATATCAGCCTTATTTTTAGAACACTGTCAATTCTAAACCGGAGCTGAGCTGATTGTTTCAGGCCCTGAGCAGCACACTGTCACGTTTGCAATCCAGCTGTGAGGAAGAGCACATGGAAGGCAATCACGCTCCCTGTCCTGTGCAGGCTAGCACCTCTCTTTACAAAACTGGTAGGGCCACCTTCATTAGTGACAGGTGCACGGTGTCATACAGCTAGACTTCCCTGGGGTAAAATTGCAGTTGGGTTCTGAGTTGACACTGGAGCAGGAAAATTCAAAAATACCTGGGTTTCAGCAACTCTTGGGGAAGCTTGAATAGCAAGTGACTGGAAGGACTGTCCCCAAACTGGAGGGCTCCTTGATTGGTCTCGGCCTTGAGAGGTAGTGGGCAAGACTTCACATCTTTCCACACCTCCATGCTCCTCGGGGAGGCCACTGGTGTGTCTTGCAACAGCTGCATGGGAGAGGAGCAAAAAATTAGGGCAGCTAGTTATCAGGGGAAAGAGGGAAGAATCTAATCTTGCCAAGTGCCTTGTTCAATTTTCACTCTATTCTAAGGAATGGATTCAATGGAAAAGTCGAAGAGGCAGCAAATAATCCCATGGGATGGAAGTTCCCACTGAGAAACCTTCTGTGAGCCTCTGAGTGACAGGAGGAGACAGAATGGAGAGTCAGCATGCATTCTCAGCTCCTT